TCCCCAAAAGGGAAACTACTAAGCTGATCAGCATAAATATTGTTTTTATTGTCCCATATTGCAAAATTTTAATAGTACTATTGTATTTTACCTTTTTTGAATCATGTGACAATATTGCCTAATCAAACACTTAAGAAAATCAGGAGGAGATCCTTGTTATAATGCAAAATTTTCTCCTGTTCTTGTCTTCTTGTCGCTCCATTTCCAATTCTCTCCCAACTCCCAAGAAACTCATGGCTTGGCTATCTTGCCTACACTGACGGTCACCAGTCACTGTTTGCAGTGCGTATTCCAATGTGTGTATCTGGCTATATGCCATCCCCTCCTGCTGCTCCACTACTGTTACACAAAGGGAGCACACTTGGCCCTGCTGCATGTGGCAACGAGTAGGTTACTGGAGAACTAGGAATCAGTAGGTAGGCCCCAGACACTGTTGTGGACAGCCTGCTCCTCTTGAGCAAGGCAGCTGTCATGGGAGGAGCCCAGTTCCGAGGTGGGCAAATTCTGAACATTCCTCTGCACCCTGGACGACAGACCGGGGTGCGGGGAGATGTTTCTGGTTAAGCATGGGTGCAACACCTGTGCTCCCCACCAGCTAGGAGATGCGTGATCGGACTGTGGGTTTTCCTGCTAGGCGTCTGTGCTGATCCAGTGTTTCTCTCCCTACCTTCAGCTCCATGCTGTTTAGACAGAGGAGTCTGATTTCATTACAGATGATTGGCTTGGGGGCTCCTTGCATCAGTGAGGTGTGAAATAGCCAGACTGAATAGCTCATTCCAGGAACAGAGGATTCTACATAAAGTCAACAACAAGGATGTGTATGATCAAGGGCTAAGAGCAGCAAAACTAGGCTTGGGCGATGGTGCAGGCTTCAGCAAGGGCAGGTACGCAGCATACGCTTCCTGTGGTGGTGCTGGCTACTCGAGACATGTCGAGGTGGCCCCAGATTGCACAGGCCTGGGACGGTGTCATCCAGAAGGCATACAGACAGGACTTACTGTGGCTTCATCACAAACCCCTGAGCCCCACACAGTCTCAGTGTGGCACTTGGCACTGCGTTTTTCCTCCCCCCACACTCCTACAGGGATTAAACGCAGGGGCTTCATACTGAGCTACGCCTCCAGCTCCTTTTTAATTTTTTTGAGACACAATCCCTTTGAATGGGCTGGAACTTGCAATCCTCCTGCCTCAGGCTCCCAAAGTGCAGGGGTTACATGTGTATCCACCAAGCCCAGTTTCAGGCTGGAGAGATAGTTCAGTAGAATAAGCACTTGCCTGGCAAGTTGCAAGATCCTGAGTTCAGTTCCCAGTACCACCAAAAAAAAAAAAAAAAAAAAAAAAAATCAACTCACCACCAAGGCCAGTTTCAATTGTTTTTCTTATTGAGTTTCCCTCAAGAAAGGCTGGGCCTTTTTTTGCAGGCAAATTGGGAAATGTTTTATTTATTTATTTTTGTGGTACCACGGATTGAACTCAGGACCTTGCACTTGCCAGGTAAGCATTTATTCAACTGAGTTATCTCCCTGGCGAAAATTGGGAAATGGCTGATAAGAACATTGGAAGTGAGCATCTCTCTCTCATCCATAGATGTGAAAACTCAGACCTAGAGAAGCTGTAGCACAGTACAGGAGTGGCAGTTGACCCAGCTGGACAGCTGCCGTCCTCTGGTCCCCTCTTACAGAGCAACTGAGGCCAAATGCCAAGGTGCAATCTCCTTGTGTATCAGTAATTCTCATCTTGCACATAGGTCAGCAGATATCTCAGCTTCTTTCCTTCTTTCTTTCTTTCTTTCTTTCTTTCTTTTTTTTTTTTGCCAGAACTGGGGATTGAACTCAGGCCCTTCCGCTTACCAGGGAAACACTTATTCTACTGAGTCATCTTCCCGACCCCTTAGTTTCTTTTTTAATGCTGAGACAACATACCTGGTACCCAAAGTTAAAGGACAGGTTTATTGTAGCTCAGTTTGTAGAGGTTTCAGTTCAATAGTCAGCTGGCTGCAAAGCAAGGTGATGTGGCATGGTGGGGCAGAAGCGGTCCATGGCAAGCAGAAGGCAGAAAGGTAGCAAAGCAGCAGCAATAGCAAGCAGCAGGGAGGTGGCAGCAGCCCTCTTTCTGTCACTCACTTTCTCTCCAGGCTACACACCCTTAGGGTGGGCAGCACAAACCCAAGGTGGGCCTTCCCATTATCCACATTCAGAACTAGCCAACCAATCAGTAGACTGACTCAGAAGTGACACCCCCTTGATCCAGCCACCTCTGAAAAGCTTTACCTACGTCTGCAGGAGGCTTGGGGAGACATCTAGATATAAGCCATACCGGCAGATAAGCCTCAGGTTTCATATACAGTGGGTTAGAATTATTCTACATTTGTATCCATTGAGTGGCTAAAATTTAGCTTTTTCTTGGCGTCAGTACTCAAACTCAACATTAGGTTTTTGGGCAGCAGGGCAGCAGAGAAGCAGAAATAGAAGGGGAGGAAGCCTTTATTAATTCTGAAGACAGGGAGAGGATGGAGGGCAGGGAGATGGGGAGATCCTATGACTGGAGACAGGGATGATGAGGCTATAGACTTTTGCTAGTAGGGGTGGAGTTTGAGGGGCAGGTTGAGGGACACACAAGGAACTGATTGGAAGTTCACTTTGTGTGTGTGTGTGTGTGTGTGTGTGTGTGTATTGAGGGGGAGAAAAAGGAAGTTGTATCCAGGGGTAGAGTGGGGAAGGAGGAAGTGGTCATTGGGAAGATAAACTGTTGTTCTGGGGATTCAGCCATGATGAATTACAGCCATGATAATTCAGCAGTTTGTACTCAGGCCAGAACCTATCACCCAGGGCCTTGCACTTCCCAGGCAAGCACTGTACCTCATTTCACTGGCTATATCCCCAGCCAAACAGCTAAAATTTAAAAGATTGAAAATACCAAAGCTATGGAACAATGAGAATTTTCAAACAGTGGAAACTAATAGAAATATTCCATAAAACTGCTTAGCACTATCTACTAAAGCTAAACACGCACCTACCCTACGGCCTGGCAGTTCGAGTTCTAATTATTTACCCCAGAGAATTAAGAGTATATGTCCACTAAAGACAGGCCTGCAAATGTTCATAGCAGCTTTCTTTCTTTCTTTCTTTATTTTTGAGACAGGGCCTCATGATATAGCTCAAACTATCCTTCAACTCATGGCAATCCTCCTGCCTCAGCCTTATCAGAGCTGGGATTACTAGTATGTACCACCACATTCAGCAGCTTCATTTCTAGTTAAAAACTGGAAATACCCACAAACGCCCATCAACAAAATGGTTAAATAATTTTGTGGTACAGTTGTACAATTAAGTGCGACACAGCACAAACAGATAGGAAAGACTGGACTACTGACAGCAACACAGATAAATCTCATACACATTATTTTGAATAAAAGCAGCCAGACAGAAAAGTGTGCATACTGTAAAAACTCATAAGCTGAATATTGAAGATTTACCCATTTAAGTTATATTTCAATTTTTTAAAAAGTGCCCTGTAATGTATCTGTACTTCGGAGTACAGATAGGGCAAGAAAGGTACTTTCATCATTTCAAATAACATCTTAGTTGCTAAAATTCAACGCTGACAAGATTACTGCTCTCCTAGTCTGGCATCTGGCAGATTGCATAGGCCTGCACCTGGCTTGCCTGCCAACAACTCCTCCACACTGACAAGCCGACCGGCCCAGCACATGTTTGCTGTTGGTAATCTCCACTTTAACAAACTTCTCTGGCTCCCCTGTGTCCCTGGCCAGAACAAACAAAGGCTTTCCCAATCCACTGCTTATCTAGCTCTCCTGATCCAGCGCAACCTCTCATCCCGTGCCCTTATTTCCTGGCTCCCATGATCCTCCACGTCTCTTCACCTTTGGACCCTGGTCTTGGTTGCTGTGCCCAACCTATGCCACTACTGCTGCTACCAATGCTCGGTTTCCCCTCCAGCCTTGAAGGGTTCATTCACTCCTCGGTACTGATCTGCTGTGTGCTTAGTACATCCACCATAATAGAACCTCTCTACCTGTATTTATTTAAAACACTTTTATTAGTAACATTACATCCTCTAAATATTATATGATTCACCCACTAAATGCTTCTTGGGAGTGGACATGATTTGCTTATTGCTATAGCGCTGTGCTCAGAAATAAATGGGACTTGAAAGACCCAAATTACATTTTTTTTTCGTCCTAGGGTTCTAGTTTTCACAGAAACGTTGCTTCTCATTAAATTCTTTATTGAGGAGGAATTTGAGGATGAAAGTGAATATAGACGGGACAGTAACTTGTACCTTTGGACTATCCAACAGAACGGCCTCTAGAAATAAAGCTATTTAACTATTATTACTTATTTTTGGTGGAACCGGGGATTGAACTCAGGCCCTTGAGCTTGCCAGGCAAGTGCTTATTCCACTGAGCCATTTCCCCGGCCCCACTTACTTATTTATTTTCTTTGGTGGTGCTGGGGATTGAACCAGCCTTGCACATGCTAGGTAACCTCTGTACCACTGAGCTATATCCCCAGCCCTGGCTATTTAGAAATTAAACATTCAGTTCTCTCTAATCATACACCAAGGGTTCAAAGGAGTCCCCTGAACCTGGGGTGGTGCCACACATCTGTAAATCCCTCTGGGAGGGATTATTCTGGAGGCTGAGGCAGGAGAGTAAATTTGAGCAGGGCATGGGCAGGTGTCCAGTGCTTGACTTGGAGGTCCAGGCTCACCTGAAGCATTCAGTAAAAGGCAAATTAATGAGAGATACAATGGGAAGGACCCGAGAACCAGTCCTACGCCGTCTTTCCATGCAGGCCAGGGCTCTGCGAAGGTTTTCACGCTGAGCTTCTTCTGAAAGGCC